GGCGACAGAGTGAGACTCCAACTCAAAAAAAAAAAAAAAGAAAAAGAAAAAGTCTGCCATGCGCTCATTTTCCTTGTGCTGGTGGTTTGGAAAAATCCAGGGAAATGGGGCTGAATTCCATCTCTGTCTGAGCTGGTGCAGTGAAGGGAAGAAAGAAGCCAAGTTGGACTGAGAATGCACCTGAGGCCCCGGAGGCAGCAGTGAGTCCCTGGGAGTCTGGATAAGCTCGAGGGATCCCTGTCCATTGGACTACACGAGCATGGACTAGGATTTGACCCATTTTATTTCAATCCCGATGGACTCAATGACCTCAGCTGACACGCGGGAGAGACTTGTACATTCCTGCATGCTCATGCATGTATGTTATTTGTAACATGTATTGTGTGTGTGTGTGGTATTGGAGTCTCTGTGGCCTAGGCTGGAGTGCAGTGGCACACTGATGGCTACCGCAGCGTCGACCTGCTGGGCTCATAATCCTGCCCCAGCCTCCTGAATAGCCGGAACTATAGGTGCGCACCCCAACACCCAGCTAGTTTGTTTTTTGAGTTGTAGTCTCACTCTGTCGCCCAGGCTGGAGAGCAGTGACACATTCAGGGCTACAGCAACCTCAACTTGCTGGGCTCAGGCGACCCTTCTGCCTCAGTCTCCTCAGTAGCTGGAACTATAAGTGGGTACCACCATTTCCAAGCCATCTAATATATGTAACATATTCTATATATAACATACACAACATAATACATGTTTTATATATAAATTAAACAAGCAGCCGGGCATAGTGGCTCACACCTGTAATCCCAGCACTTTGGGCAGCGGAGGTGAGAGGAATACCTGAGCCCAGGGGTTCGAGACCAGCCTGGGTAACTTGGCAAGACTTCGTCTCTACAATAAATCAAAAAAATTAGCTGGGCATGGTAGCACACCCCTGTGTGTGGAAGGCTGAGGTGGAATGATCACCTGAGCCCTGCAGGTGGAGGCTGTGGTGGCTGTGAGTGTGTACCTGTACTCCAGCTTGGGCGACAGGGTGACTCCTACTCAAATAAATAAATAAATAAACTCAGAAATATATTGTGAATGCTTCATCTTTTCAGTAATAATCTTTTACAAGATGACTACTAATATATTTTAATATTATTTTGTTTGTTTATTTACTTGTTTTTTGAGTGGGAGCCTCACTGTCACCCAGGCTGGAGTGCAGTGGTTTGCTTACAGCCACTGCAGCCTCGACCTCCTGGACTCAGGTGATCCTTTCACCTCAGCCTTCCAAGTAGCTTGCCGTCTTTTTAAAAATTTATCTATCGTCAAGACAAGGTCTTGTCAAGTTGCCCAGGCTGGTCTCAAACCCTTGCACTTAGGCAATCTTCTTGCCTTGGCCTCCTGAAGTGCTGGGATTACTGGCGTGAGCCACAGCCCCCAGCTTGTTTGTTTTTTGAGGTGGAGTCTTGCTGTGTTGCCTAGGCTGATGTTGAATTCCTGGGCTCAAGCAATGCTCATGCCCTGGTCTCTAGAATAACTGGGATTACCAGGTGGTTGTATTTTTATCTTCTATATGGAAGTACCATAATTTGCTTAACCAGCAAATAATTTGCTCAACTATTTTGGTTATTTGTTCCTGTTTCGAGTTTTTGCTATTATAAGCAATGCTGCTAATGAACATTCTTATAAATAGACCTTATAAATAGATTTGTGGTTTGAGACATCCTCCCAGCACCAGTCAGGACCCGACAGGAAACAGGTGGCATACCAAAACTAGGCAGTTGAGGCGCGTCTAACACAAGGACAAGGTACAAAGGTGTGGACTGGGTTCAGGGAAACCAGCCAGGGATGGGGTGGTGCCTCAAGATTATTACCTCCCCTCGAATACTGTATCACTGCTGCATTGTGTGTTTCGCTTATTATTTGTGAGGTCAAATTTTTTTATATGTTTAGTTTTCTTTTGTGAATTGCCTTTGCCCTTCAGGAGTTCATCTTTTTCTGCTTGGTTTGTGGAGTGTTATGTATCAACTGTTGGTTTGTTTCTTCAGATATTTCTTTTTTTTCTCTTTTTTTTTGAGTTGGAGTCTCATTCTGTCGCCCAGACTGGAGGGCAGTGGTACGTTCTCGGCCACTGCAGCCTCAACCTGCTGGGCTCAGGCCATCCTTTCACCTCAACCTTCCAAGTAGCTGAAACAGCAGGGGCACGCCACCACGCCCGGTTAATTTTTTTGATTTATTGTAGAGACAAGGTCTCATCAAGTTTACTCAGGCAATCCTCTTGCCTTGGCCTCCCAAAGTGCAGGGATTACAGACTGAGCCACCGTACCCAGCTAGTTTCTTCAGATATTTCAATAGGTCTGTTAATTTTTTTTTTTTTTGAGTTGGAGTCTCACTCTGTCGCCCAGACTAGAGTGCAGTGGCTGCTCCCGGCCACCGCAGCCTTGACCTGCTGGGCTCCACCGATCCTTCCGCCTCAGCCTTCCGAGTAGCTGGAACTACAGGCGCGCGCTACCACGCCCAGCTGATTTTTTGATTTATTGTAGAGATGAGGTCTTGCCGAGTTGCCTAGGCGGGTCTCGAACCCGCAGGCTCAGGCACTCCATTCACCTCAGCCTCCCAAGCACGAGATTACAGGCTGAACCACCGATCCCGGCTCACAGCATAGCTTGATAAAGGCTTTCCAAGGTAAAATCATTAAAAAATACAACGGAAGTATAAATTGAAAGCAAGTGTTGACAGAATTCTCCAAGGAACCCTAAGATTGCAGGGAACAGTTTGAAAAACGCTGGTGTAAGAGAAAATGAGTGTGGGTGTTTGTGCAGCTCAAAGAAAAGGATCTTCTTTGGTTTGCTTGCTCGGTTTATGTATGAGGACAAGCGCCCAATGTGTACTGAAAGATGGTTTTAATTGAAGAACACGCTGGAAACTCCATGCTACCAGGCCATGTGTCAGAGACTGTAATAAGAACTACTAAGGGCTTACTCTGTGCCAGGCCCTGAATCAAAACATGTATGTAAATATTTAATTCTCAGAAAATGCCTAATGAAAATTTTTTTTCTTTCTTGAGTTGAAGTCTCTGTTGCCCAATGAAAGGACATAACATGGAGTCAATGTCCCCAATGAGCAGCCATTTTATTTATTTTTTATTTTTTATTTTTTTTTTGAGTTAGAGTCTCACTCTGTCACCCAGACTGGAGTGCAGTGGCCGCTCTTGGCCACCGCAGCCTCGACCTGCTGGGCTCCGGCGATCCTTCCGCCTCAGCCTTCCGAGTAGCCGGAATTACAGGCATGCGCCACCACGCCCGGCTGATTTTTTTATTTATTGTAGAGATGAGGTCTCGCTGCCCAGGCGGGTCTCGAACCCGTGGGTCAGGAAATCTACTCACCTCAGGCTCCCAAAGGCGCGGGATTACAGGCTGAGCCACCGAGCCTGGCCTAACCTTTTTTTTTTTTTTTTGAGTTGGAATCTCTGTCACCCAGGCTGGAGTGCAGTGGCACACACACTCATGGCCACCGCAGCTCAGGTGATCCTGCCACCTCAGCCTTCCAAGTAGCTGGAACTACAGGCACGTGCCACCACGCCTGGCTAATTTTTTCATTTGTTGTCAAGATGAGGTCTTGCCAAATTGCCTAGGCTGTTCTCAAACCTGTGAGCTCAGGGAATCTTCTCATCTCAGCCTCCCAAAGTGCTGGGATTATAGGTGTGAGCCACCACGCCCAAGCAGCCGTTTTAACATTGCCTGGATCTGTCATGTTTTTCTTTTCTTTTTTTTTTTTTTTTTTGAGTTGGAGTTTCACTCTGTCGCCCAGACTGGAGTGCAGCGGCCGCTCCTGGCCCCCGCAGCCTCGACCTGCTGGGCTCTGGCGATCTTTCCCCCTCAGCCTTCCAAGTAGCTGGAACTACAAGTGCGCGCTACCACACCCGGCTGACTTTTTTTTTTTGATTTATTGTAGAGATGAGGTCTTGCCAAGTTGCCCAGGAGGGGCTCGAACCCGCGGGCTCAGGCAATTCACTCACCTCGGCCTCCCAAAGCACAAGATTACAGGCTGAGCCACCAAGCCCGGCAATAAATGATATTTTAATGCAGTCTTTTTTTTTTAAGTTGGAGTCTCACTCTGTCACCCAGGCAAGAGTGTAGTGGCACTCTCATGGCCACCGCAGCCTCCACCTGCTGGTGTCTGGTGATCCTTCCGTCCCAGCCTTCCAAGTTGCTGAAACTACTGGTGTGCACCATCATACCCAACTAATTTTTTGATTTATTGTAGAGATGAGGTTTCACTATGTTGCCCAAGCTGGTCTCAATCTCCTGGGCTCAGGCAATCCTTCTACCCCCGCCTCCAAAGTTCACACATGTGAACCACGGTGCCCGGCCTTAAGGCAATATTTTTTTAATCAAAAATTAATGCAAAATGTTAGGGTCGTCTCGTTGGGGCCTCCAAATGTTAGGGTCACACTCTCCCAGCAGGACCTCCAGAATGCTAAGTCAGGCCCGCTGGGGGTGTGGGTGTCTGGGGTGCGATCCAATGCTGCATGAAAGATGCAAAGAATTGCACGGAAGTTAGATTGAAAATATAATTTATTTAAAGTAAATTAGAGAGAAGATTCACCTCCCCAAGGTAAGGGAGGGGGACCAAAGCCAGGAAGCATGGTGACAGCATAGCTCAAAAAGGGCATGGCCACACCAGGGTCTACCAAGGCAATGGCCCCTTGTTGCTTGTGATTGAGTCCTTTGAACCATTCCGTTTGATGGGGGAAGGTCATTAAGGTGGTTGGATGTTGATCTGTTCGTCCTCATCACAAAGGGGCAGGTAAGAGCAGGTACTGATGTCAGGTGATGAACAGCAGACAGATGGGTAAGTGAGTCACATGGTTGCTGCCATGGCAGGGGTCTGTCTGTGTCACCTACATTACAAAGGGCTGATTAGGTTTACGTGGGGGTTTGGGCCCAGAGGGGTTTTTCCTGTAAGAGACTTGTTAGACATTTGTAATCCTCAGACTCCTTGACCAAAGGTGCTCTTATTATCATTTCTATGGCTTTGCCCAGCTAAAGCCTTGACAAGAAACTAAAAGTTTACTATAGATTATTATGCTAAATCATGAATTGAAAGGTTGGGCTGTCCTGGTCTTGCATCTGATGGAGATTTGCTGAAGGGGTGGGATAGGCTGCCCCTTGACCTGCAGTAGAACATCTGAACGCTTTCTAATAGTTATGCTGAGGCAAAAAGACTAAACCAAGAATAAGCTAAGTTTCTTCTAGGTTTCTATTGGAACCTCCTTTCACACAAAAATTCCATGATCAACAAAATATCACATTTTTAAAGAAATGTAGCTGGGCACATCGGCTGGGCACAGTGGCTCACGCCTGTAATCCCAACACTTTGGGA